GTCCCTTTCTTCTGTCTCTCGACCTTGGTCTGCCACACCACTCCGTAGCGCCTCGTCCTTCATGGCGAGCGCCTCGGGAACGACGTGCATCGCGTCGTCAAAGCGCAATGACGAGTAGATCATGATCAAGATCCACCACGCGAAGAACGCCATCACGAACTGGTTCGATCGGAACCTAGCGCACACGAATCTCTCGAGCGCAGCCACCAGGACCAGAGGGATGGGGACTGCCTCACGAGTCTCCTTCCCTCGATCGCTGTAGACTGTAGACTCTCTTCTGCAGAGCCATAATGCGAGCATCGAGGAGATCAGGTCCTTGCATCCCTATCCTTTTGCAGATCCATTTCACGGCCCCTCGAACTGAGGGGCTCACTGTGGGCCCGCATCCACGATCGGAAAGGTTCAGCAAATACTTGACCAGCACCTCCGTGGTCAGTGGGATCGCCTTGATGTTCTGAGACTTCGCCCATGTCTCAAGACGCTCCCAGTGACGAACGCACTGCTGGATCGTCCTGAAACCACCACTCTCGAACACGATCGAGCGCAATGCATTCATCTCGCCCTGTGAGAGCAAGGAGCCAGGTTTCGGACCTCCAGCGATAGCGGCGTGCTCTCCACACCGCTCGACGATCGCCCGGAGCCTCATGCCCCACTTTCGTGCCTCGCCGAGCTCGCGAGCCTTCAAGGACACCTGGGCGTCTTCTGCTCGTGGCTCGATCGTCCTGGGCCGCTTCGCGAGCGGCAGAGGCATAGGCGGTTCATCTGATCCCCTCTTTGATCTAAGGGGAGAACGAACTGTTGCCACTGTCGTTTCAGCCAGACCGAAGCCCAGATCAGTGGCCAGATCGGCCCACCCGGTTTTAGCCGTGCTGCGAACGAGAGCGAAGAGGATCTCGATAGTCGGAACCCACCTGCCGAGCTCTTCCTCCGTCTTCCTCGTCGACGGCGAATGGAGAGCCTCGAGAGCAGGCACCAAACTCACGAACGCTTGGACACACTCAGCGATCGTCCCGTCCGAAACAGCACAGAGCTTCTCGAACTGAGCCATCCGAAGATCGACCAACCATTGGCAGAAGTCATCCCCGAACAAAGGCAAAGAAAGGATCTTCCTAACTGACCTGTCCATGCATCTCGGGCTGAACGGCTGCGAGTGCGATCGCACAGGCCTGCTAATGGCACCCGAGCGCCGTGCCTGAGCCAGGACACGCTGATCAACACTCACTGAGACTATGCGGAACAGCGCACGGATCTAGCGCACCGAGGGATCGCTCGGCACGTTTGTTCCGCGGAAGAAGCACGGCTGATCGGCCGGCTTTATGTTACGGCCGGAGCCGGCGCCAAGCTCTTTCGCGAGCAAGCGCAAAATATCCGGAGAGGAGGCGTCGAGCGCTTTCACTCCTCGCCCTCCCGCCCCGAGCTGGCCATCTGGTACGGCCCGGTGATGCCTCGAGAGGGCAAGTAGGCAGGAGAGAAAGACTGCGGAGCCGTCGTTGGAGTCGAACTGCTCGCCGGGAGCTCTGGTCCCGTCTCCTCCACCCGAACGGTAGAGTACCTCTGGAAATCCACATCTTCACGATCGCGAAGGACATCCGTGAAGAGCTGCGGGGGTGATCGCCGCCGACGTGCGCGAGAAGCGCATGTCTGCCCTCAAGCGATCCCTTGCCTCCTCGATGTACTCTCCGACCCGATCGGTCGGCGGCTCCTCGCCCTCAAGCACCGGGGTGATCACCGAGACTCGCTGATCATATAGGTCTGCTGAGCAGACGTCGGCATATTCGTCAGAGCCGAGGTAGTCGAAGATCCCAGCTGCCGAACGGCATGTCGGGCCGCCTCTTCCATGAGAGCTGGCGGACCACGCCGAGCGGTGAGCTCAGTCCCCTCGTCGTGCGAGCGGTGAGCCAGAGCTTCTTGCCGAACGAACATCAGGGGGTTCACCCGGAGCTTTGAGCGAGCACGGATATGGAAATTACCCTCATCGACCGGGAACTGGTCCGTGAAGGTACCGACCGTGCTGCCCTCATTCGCGAGGGCATCGTTGTACCACGGGGCGATCACCGCCGAGAGCTGGGCGAACTGCTGCTGCACGTGGTCCGGCCCTTCAACGCGAGCGCGCTGATTACGGCACTGCTGGATCGTGTTGATCAACGAGGGGCCAGAGATATGACTGACTGTGAGCCACGTCCCCGGAACCGAAGTTCGCCCACACTTCAGATCGATCCGGTTGTTGGCATCCCTGAACCGGAACTCCACGCGATCTGCATCATTGCCGTAACCTTCGGGCGAGGCACGATCGGTGACCCGCAGCTCGCATGTGCTCATCGCATGATCACTTGCCATCACCACTCCTTGGGGGCCGATGGAGTAGACTCGGGCCCCGACCTCGAACGAGGTCACCGAGACTTTCCAGCCGACGAACACGGAGATGACGATGGACGGCCGGAACCAACCGTCGTTAGCCGACCTGATCAAAACCTCGTCGCAGAACTGCTGTTGCACTGACAGATCAGCGTCCGAGCGATAGCCCCGGAACACCCAGTGGAACAGGACCTCATTCCCATAGGTGGCCGAGGTGTCGAACATGACCGGCCACGTGAACGGCTGAAAAGCCGGGTGCGACAGAGCTTGGCTT